ATTCAGATATGCCAGAGGCTAGTCCTAAGAAAACCCCTTATAGTGTTTTTACAGTTTTGAATTTTATTTTGTTCCAGTGCCTAACAGTGACATGAAAATTGCAATTGTTGCTTTTGGTCTGTGTTAACCTTTCTGTCTTCACTATTTAGGAACAGAAATCCTTTGGTATCTSTCTCAAATCAGAAGATTATAGGTCTGTTAGTGCATGCTGGAGAAGTACCTTTTCCATGGGTGTTAATTACTGAGCATCCAGTTGAATACATTAGTCATTAACCTCAAAAACAGTGACTCAGCAAGGTACCAGAGCCTAAGGAAAAAAAAAGCAAGAGGGAAAAGCGTGCTGTTTTCTCACACCAGATGCCAGGCAAGATGTATTTCTAGAGGAGAGCTAACAGGCAGCCCAAGAACAAATGTGCATGGAGGTCTGTGGCATTCTTTCTGCTAAGATGACTTGAAATACTCAGCTGGAAGCAAGAGGTCACTGGAGAAAGAGCTTCCCAAGGATCTGTCTGATATCCCCGAATCARTTAAGGGTGGTGGAAATACTCTTGCTGGATCAGAACCAGAAAAGGGATAATTCACCTGTGTCATACCCAAGAATGTGACCTGTGATTTCTAATGCTTGACGTAAGTATTACACAGAATGAACATGTTTTACAGTGAAGGATGAGTTAGATGGATGGGTTTTAATCTTATTTTTTTCCATAGACATGCAAGTCTGGAGATTTGTTTCTACAAAGAATGCAAAATAAATCACATATTGTGTCTGTTTTCCACATACATGCATTCAAGAAGAAAACAGACTGAGCAGACTTTCAGCCATGCARTGAATGTCTGCAGAAGTGTATCCGACTACAGGTCTCTTAAGTCACTTTAATGGTGATGGATATGCAGGAAACTATAATCAATTACACTGCCCTGGAAATTACACAGTTATTTTCAAAAAACCCTAACAGGTAACAGTTGTTTGACACAGCACAGCTTAATATTTCTCAGAAGACAGAGATCTTGTAATATTTGAGCTTGCTGTACACACAAATTGTATCACTTCAGCAATAYTAGTGGAGCTTCTGTAAAGTCAGATTGTATAGATCTGGCAGGCAGCTATGAGAGAAGAACSCAAACATAGAGAAATGCATTTGTTAAACAGCAAAAAAATCTGAACAGGGAGATCTAAGGTCAGATTAGGAGACGTTCTCTAGCTTGATATTTGAGAATGTTTAAAAACTAGCCATGTGCCTCTGCAATGAGCAGCGTGGCCTTCTGTAAKGTACACGCTCTCACACTCTCAGGTTACCGACAGCTTTGTGCTTCCTCTTCTTCTGGCTCACACCAGATTAAAAGTCACTGCGAGCCATCCGGGAGATGTGGTGTGCAGAGAGGTGGCAAAGGTGTCACTTGTCTTCTGCATAGAGAGGGTGTATCCGATTCCCAGTATTTCACATAATCACTTAATACTCGCAGAAAACATATTAAAAGTATTACTTGATTGGTGGCCTAAGGGCACAGAGTAAACAACGTATTATACAGTCAAGCAGAGCCTCATCCCTMGAGAGTCAGAGCAGCCCAGAGGGAGAATATTGGAAAAATACATTCAGCCTGTGTGTGTTCCCCTTGCTGGGGATATCAATGGAGGAATATTAGCAGCTACAGGAGGCAGATTTSGTTCTTGTACAGAAGCAGTATTAAATGATTTCTTTTTCTACCTGCCCTTCCAATCTCCCCAATACATTTCAAACTACACAATAGCAYGATCACCCGGTAGATGGAGGAAAACTGACACTGTGCTTCCAGAGCCTCTCTTCTCTGTCCTGAATATTGAGAATCCACAKGTTTGGTTTTCTTCTCCATCTTGTTCCTTGCTCTTCCTCCATCCTTCTCCCTTCCTAGCAAATGTCCCAATTCCCCCAGGTCTCTGCTCCTAATGCTTTCTCCCCAAAGCCAGACCAAACAGCTCCACACATCCTACTCCTTCCATGCCTATTCCCTCAGCAGGTTCACCTGGGCAGGAGACAGAAGCACCARGTGAGCAGGGTGACCATAAGAACAAGCTTAAAAAGTGAATTTGTTAGTTCCACAGCCCTGTTGGTGCTGAGGTGACACGGAGCAGGGAATGTGAAGAGGGGAGACAACAAAGCCGAGGCTGATGCAGGCAAAAGGCCACACACATCGTGGGGAGAGCAGAGCCGTGGACAGGTGAGCTGCAGATGGGCAGCTTTAGGTTGTTCTGCCCACAGCCAGTCATGTTAGAGGCTCACCCTGGCAAGGGCCACAGCTGCCATTCCAGGGCAGGGGAGTGTGGGTGAGGGATGAGCACTGGAGGTAGCCCCAGSCTGTGAGGGAAGGAGACTGGACAGGGGGACAAGGGCTGGACACAGAATCATGAAATGACRGAATAGCTGGGGTTGGAAGGGAGCTCTGGAGATCACCCAACCTCCTGCCATGGCAGGGTCAGCTGAAACAGGTGACACAGGGACTCCTCTGGGTGGGTTTGCAGTGTCTCCCTCCTGAGAGGGACACTCCATGCCCTCCATGTGYAGCCTGTTCCCATGGGGACATCCTTGCCTGTCCCACAGAGTGGTGCTGGGACAGCGTGGGACCGGCATGGCTGGGGGCGGTATGAGAGGGGTGTGAGAGGCTGTGTGTGACGGGGACTGGGTGAGGGTCCGTGTGTGATGGGGGTGCATGTGAGGAGTGCTGTGTGTTAGGGGGTCAGTGTGTGAGGGGTTGTGTGAGCAGGGTTGTCTGTGAGGGTTGGTGTGTGGGGGGCTGTGTGTGTATGAGGRTCAGTGTGTGAGTGGCTGCATGTGAGGGGCAGTGTGAGTGGGTGTGTGTGTGAAGGGCTGTATGTGAAGGGGTTGGTGTATGAGGGTCGATGTGAAGGTCAGTGTGTGAGGGGTGTGTGTGTGTGTGAGGTGGGCTGTGGGGGGGGCGGTGAGGGGCTGTGTGAGGGATGTGTGTGTGAGGGTCGATGTGAGGGGTGTGTGTGGGAGGGGAGTGTGTGTGAGTCGATGTAAGGAATGGTGTGAGTGTGTGTTTGTGAGGGGGTCAGTGTGGGGGGATTGGCGAGGGGCTGTGTGAGGGGTGTGCGTATGTGAAGGGTGTGTGTGTGAGGGGCGTGTGGGTGAGGGGTGTGTGGGTGAGGGTCTGTGCGAAGGTCGGTGTGAGGGTCGGTGTGAGGGATGTGTGTGTGTGAGTCAGTGTGAGGATCGGTGTGAGAGGGATGTGAGGGATGTGTGTGTGAGGGTTGGTGTAAGGGTCGGTGTGAGGGGTGTGTGTGTGTGAGGGTTGGTGTGAGGGTTGGTGTGAGGGGTGTGTATGTGTGAGGGTCAGTGTGAGGGATGTGTGTGTGTGAGGACTGGTGTGAGAGTTGGTGTGAGGGGTGTGTGTGTGTGAGGGTTGGTGTGTGGGATGTGTGTTTGTGAGGGTCGGTATGAGGGGTGTGTGTGAGGATCGGTGTGAGAGTGTATGTGAGGGGTGTGTGTGTGTGAGGGTCTGTGTGAGGGTCGGTGCGAAGGTCGGTGTGAGGGATGTGGGTGTGTGAGTCAGTGTGAGGGTCGGTGTGAGAGGGATGTGAGGGATGTGTGTGTGAGGGTTGGTGTGAGGGATGTGTGTGTGTGAGGGTCAGTGTGAGGGGTCAGTGTGAGGGTTGGTGCTCGGGTCGGTGTGTGGGATGTGTGTGTGTGAGGGGTCGGTGCTCGGGATGTGTGTGTGTGTGAGGGTTGGTGTGCGGGATGTGTGTGTGAGAGGGGTCGGTGCTCGGGATGTGTGTGTGAGGGTCGGTATGAGGGTCGGTGTGCGGGATGTGTCGGTGTGCGGGATGTGTGTGCTCGGGTCGGTGCTCGGGGGTGTCTCAGCGCGTGCCGGCCGCCCCACCGCGCAGGCCCCCCGCGCATGCCCGAGCCTCATTTCGCGCGGCGGGGGCGCCGCATTTCGCGCGCCGCCGGGCGG